ATCTCCCCAAAACCCCAAAACCCCAAAACCCCGTTTTAAGGATTTACCGCAAATAAATATTCTTAATTTAAAAATGGAAAAGAAAGAAGAAACCTCAGGTAAGTTGTAACTCTTTATCCTGCATTTCTATCCTACCCAGCAGCTTTCTTGATATACCTCTAACAATTATAGGCTCTAAGAGAAAGCACAGTGACCCCCCTGCCGGCTCAAAGCGTCAAAAGACCTCAGAAGAAGGTAAGATCTTATAAAGTGCTTAATATCCAAGTCTCCACACTTCATTTAAAGATATGGCTTGCAAGTTAAAAAAAAACTTCTGTTAGATAGAAAATTCCTCAAGGACTTGAAACACACCTACAAAAACATGCTTCCTTAGACTAGACACTACCACACTCAACATATCAGAGGGTTCAAATTATTTTCAGATTTAATAACAAAAATAGGTTTTAATAACCCGCTCTTTTTATTTCACAGTATTAATCTCGACCCTGCGCACCTCTCCTAAATCTCCTGTTTCCATTTCAGTTTGCTTACATTAAAACTTTATCAGTTTATCAATTTCTTCTGACTCAGGAATAATGAACTTCCTGCTCCATTCTCGTCTTGTTTGGATGCCTTAACTTGTTCTAGACCACAACTCTGAAGAGGAAATTAAGAAGGAAGAAGCAGAGGGAGAGGAATACCAAGAAGCCGAAGGGGAAGAATATAGAGAAGCTGAAGGAGATGATGGTGAAGGCGAAGAAGCTGTAAGTCAAGTGGTTAAATAGTTTTAATATAGGAAGGAGAAGAAGGCGAAGGTGCAGATGATGTAGAAGGTGAAGGAGCTGTAGAAGCTGAAGGAGAAGGAGAAGGGGAGAAAGAGGATGAAACAGCAGATAAGAAAGAAAATAAAGAAGAAGACAAAGAGGGAGATGAGGCTAATGATGGAGAAGCGGATGTGAACCAAGACGAGGAGGATAGGTAAATCAATAATAATCAGATCTTTAATATATGAAAAACACAATCAAATCAATTGGTTTAAAAATCTTTGCAAAATTGTGTCAATTTTAGCTTAAAGAGTTTGCTTATCTAAAATAGTTTTGATTCTGATTTTGATGATCCTGAAAGTGAATCCCATCATGAAGACAAAGACTTTGATGAAGATGCATACCTTAAATGGAGGGAGCAAGATGAACAGAGGGGTTCAAAGGAATAAGATTTCCAATTTAAATTCCTTTATAATTCAGTAAGTTGATAAAAAGAGGGGTTTTGGGGTTTTGGGGTTTTGGGGTTTTGGGGTTTTGGGGTTTTGGGGTTTTGGGG